ATATATATTATATATTTATTTTCTGGATAGCTTAGTTTAAATTAAGTTTTGCTTAGCTTAAATTGAGGTTTCAGATAATCCCAGAGCAGTTGCAATTGCCAAATCCTACAATTTCTAGTCACAGGAAATATTTTCCCCTCACTCAAGTTAAAGTGACATCTTCATACTCTGGTGGATCCATTAGGAAAACATTATATTTTGATTACTCTATTTGTATATTTTTCAAAGGAAAAAAGTCTTAACTCCTCCAAACCCTAGCAAAAAATCACTTACAACTGTCATGTAATGTAGCATTCGACCATCCACCCGTCCTTCATCAAATTGGGTCTTATACTGGGGGAGGCCAATATCATCCAACCATCCTAAAGAACAGAAACCAGCATCATTACAGTGTCACAAAACACTTGTTTTTGTGATTAAAAAGAAAAGGCAGCGATATTTATTTACTTATTATTTTATTTAAAATAAAAACCTCTTACTAGTGACCCAGTTGAAATCCAGCTTCCCATGATTGGTTTCTTCCTCGGATCCTAGAGCTTGCAGTGCCAGCTGGAGTTTCTTTCGATGAAGTGAATGCTTGATTCCAAGTTCCTAAAACAATAAAAAATAACTAAACTTATATTTCTAACTATGTGGGCTTATGACTCTGAAAAATGATGCAAATTCTTCCAAAATGAAGCTAACAGTAAGGATTCAATCTACATTAAATAACATACTAACTCAGGCTAGTAATGTTGCTGGATAAGAGGTTGTTAGAGAGCTAAGATGACCCCATTAATTTAGTGATATATTAGACATTCCCCAGTGACTTATTTTTTTGTAAGATAGCAACTGTGGCATGCATAATAGGAACTTCGTTCGTATTTTGTGTAAAATTTTAAATAAATGGGGCACAGAACATTTTTTCTTTTTATAAAGTTAAGATGAATTGCATATATTACGTTGAAAAGATAAGTCAATGTGATAAAGCCACAAAATGATTTTAAGTCATATGAGCTTAAGGTTTATTAGTATAGCTATATAATTATTTTTCCTTAGAATTCCCAGTGGCTTTTTTGTTCCACAAAGAATCATTAAGACCAGGCCCTTCCTTTTAAGTCCATGAAATGAAATAAGTATAAAGTGGCTGAAAACTCAAACCTTTTCAAGATTACTAACACTGGCTCCACCCATGCCCCTTCCTGGAGTATAAAGTTACCATATAATTATATT